CTTTTCTGAATTCTATACACGATATGGCGCCCACGCCCGTCAACCGTTCTGGCGTGCGGTTTGCGAGAAGCTGGGGCACCGAACGCATGCAATACCACGGGCGACATCAATGCAAAGAACGCGGCTTCGACAACAGCGCGGAACACAACATGAACAAAAACTTTATCTGTTCGAATTGCAGCTCGGTCCGGTAAGTCGGCCGACGACATGGTCTGGGATGCCGGCACAAGGCTCGGCGGCCGGGCGGGCGCTAAACGCCTTCCCGGAAGGGGGATGAGGAGGAGAGGAGGGAAGTGACCCAACGCGGCGGCGAGAGCGGCTTTACGATCAGGCCACGTAGACGATGGGTTCGTTACGACATGTTCGGATCTCGCCTGGCTCAAGCGAAACACCGATGAGATTGCCAGGAATGGCGATCTGGAGCGTTCCGCTGTTTTCTGTGTGAGCGTGGCTTTGACGAAACGTTCCTGGGATCGACAGGACTGGTGTTCTGGGGCGCTGCGGTTTTTCATTCCTAATCTGGTTAGGACGAAACGATGATAAAAGCCACGAAGTGCGATAAAGGTTGCGACTTTCCAACGTTATGAATGACTTGTTGGAGCTCTGGCGCATGACTTCCTCACCAAAACGATGCCGATCACAAGTTGTTCCTATTTACGAATCGTTAGCGTTATGTTCGGCATCGTTTTGGCGAGGAAGTTTTGCGCCAGAGCACCCAAAAGTCATTCATAACGTTGGACAGTTGCAACCCTATCGCGTTCCGTGGTTCTCATCATCGTTTCGTCATAGCCAGGCTGGGGGCGAAAAGCTGCAACGCCCCAGAACGGAATTTCTGGCACCCCCAAGATCGTTTTGTCATAGTCATGCAAACACACAAATCAGCTGAACGCAACAGAGCGCCTTTCCTGGTGATCTCATCGGCGTTTCGCTTGAGCCAGGCAAGATCCGAACATATCGTAACGTTGCAGCAGTTGCAGCCCATCGGCCCCGTAGCCTGATCGGGGCGCTCGCTGTCGCGCTGGGCCACTTCCCTCCTCTCCTTTTTAATCTCCCTTCAGGGAAGGCGCTTAAGCGCCCGCACGGCCGCCGAGCCTTGCGCCAGCATCCCAGACTTCGTCGTCGGCGGACTTCCCGGACTTCATTGCAATCCGAACAGTGAAGGTTTTCACGTTGTGTTCCGCGCCGGTGTCGGGGCCGCGTTCTTCGCGTTGAGATTGCCCGCGGCGCGGCGTGCGCTCGGCGCCCCAGCTTCTCGCAAACAGCGAGCCAGAAAGGTTGGCGGGCGCGAGCGCCATATCGTGCGCAGAATTCAAAAAGGGCCTTCGCATCAGCTTTGCCATGATTCGAGGGCCACTTCTGAATTCTATGCGCGATGTGGCGCTCGCGCATCTCAACCGTTCTGGCGCGCGGCCATTGAGAGGCTGGGGCGCCGAACGCACGCAGTGCCAAGGCAATCTCATCGCAACGGACGCTGCCCCGACAACAGAGCGGAGCCCAAGTGCAAACCTTCTGTTGTCGATCTGCAATGAAGTCCAGGAAGTTTGCCGACGACGAGGTCTGGGATGCTGGCGCTAGACTCGGCGGCCAGGGGCGCCTTAACGCTTTCCCGGAAGGGGGATCGGGAGAAGAGGAGAGAAGCGACCCAGCGCGACGGCGAGCGCAACGATCAGGCCACGGGACCGATGGGCCAACGCGGCTGTTACGTTACGATATGTTCGGATTTTGCCTGGCTCGAGCGGAACGCCGATGAGATCGCCGGGAATGGCGTTCTGGTGTGTTCCGCCCTGTGCTAGCCTGGCTATGACGGAAGGATCCCGGGGTCGCCAGGAACGGCGTTCTGGGGCGTTGCGGCTTTTTTTTTCGGTCCTATTCTGGCTGTGACGAAACGATGACGAGAGCGACGGGATGCGATGGGGTTGCAAATTTCAAACGTTACGAGTGACTTTTTGGTGCTCTGGTTTGCGACTTCCTCGCCACGACGATGCCGATCATAGCGCGAATTATTTGTCATGAGTAAAACTGTGTTTCTCTTTATGCGCGAATATTCAACGCTCTGATCGGCATCGCTTTGGTAAGGAAGTACTGCGCCAGAGCTTCAGAAAGTGGGCGCCGAGTGCGCCCGATGCCACGGGCAATCTCACTGCAAAGAACGTGGCCTCGACAACGGCGCGGAACCCACCTGAAAACTTTCTTCTGGTCGAGCTGCAAGTTAGCCCGGGAAGTCCGCCGACGACATGGTCTGGGATGCCGGCGCAAGCTTCGGCGGCCGGGCAGGCGCTTAAACGCTTTCCCTGAAGCGGAGCAGGGAGGAGAGGAAAAAAGTGGCCCAGTGCGGCGGCGAGAGCAGCTTTCCGATCGGGCCACGAGGCCGATGGGCTCGTTGCGATATGTTCGGATCTTGTTTGGCTCAAGCAGAACGCCGATGAGATCGCTAGGAATGGTGCTCTGTGACGTTGCGTTGTTTTGAGCGTTAGCCTGGCAATGACGAAACGATATTAGGATCGCCGGGAATGGCGTTCCGGGGTGCTGCGGCTTTTAGGTCTTAGCCTTGATATGACGAAGCGATGATGAAAACCACGAGGTGCGATAGGGGTAGCAATTGTCCAACGTTGCGAATGACTTGTTGGGATCTGGCGCAGGACTTCCTCGCCCAAACGACGCCGATCAGAACGTTGAACACTAGGACAATTTTTTAGGCGAGGAAGTCCGTGCCAGAGCTCCAAAAAGTCATTCCTAACGTTGGGAAGACGCAACCCCGTCGCATGTCTTGGCTTTCGTCATCGTTTCGTCATAGCTGGACTAGGACTGAAAAAGCCGCAACGCCGCAACGCACCACCCACAACGCAATTCCCAGCGACCCCTGGATCGTTTCGTCATAACCAGGCAAACACAGAAAACGGCGGAACGCGCCAGAGCGCCATTCCTGGCGGTCTCATCGGCGTTTCGCTTGAGCCAGGCGAGACCCGAACATATCGGTCCCATAGCATGATCCGTGCGCTCGCCGCCGCGCTGCTTCACTTCACTTCCCTCCCCCGCATCCCCCTTCCGGGGAGGCGTTTAAGCGCCCGCCTTGCCGCCGAGCCTTGTACCAGCATCCCGGATCATGTCGTCAGCGGTTTTCCCGTTTTTTTTGCAGTTCGAACCGAGAAAATTGTCATGTGGGTTCCGCGCTGTTGTCGGGGCCACGTTCCTTGCGTTGAGATCGCCTTGGCGTCGCGCGCGTTCGGCGCCCCAGCTGCTCGCAAACACCGCGCCAGAACGGTTGACGGTGGCGAGCCCCATACTGTGTATAGACTTAAAAAGGGGCCCTGAATTTACACGCGATGCGGCATTCGCGCCCGTCAACCGTTCCAGCGCGCGGTTCGCGAGGGGCCGGGGCTCCGAGCGAGTGCAGTACCACGGGCAATCTCAACGTAAGGAACGCGGCCCCGAAGACAACGCGGAACACAACATGAAGACCTTCTTTGTTCGGATTACAAGCAAGTCCGACATGTCAGCCGACGACATGGTCTGGGATGCCGGCGCAAGGCTCGGCGGCTGGGGGGGCGCCGTTCCGTTGTTTTCTGTGCTAGCCTGGACATGACTAAACGATCTTGGGATCGCCAGGAACGGCGTTCGGGGGTGCTGCGATTTGTATCGGTCTTAGCCTGGCTGGGACGGAACGATGATGAAAAGCACGAAGTGCGATAGGGTTGCAACTTTCCAACGTTGTGAATGACTTTTTTGATCTTTGGCGCAGGATTTCCCCGCCAAAGCGACGCCGATCATTATGTTGATAAGTCGTATGTTAAGAATGAAATTCGTTGTGTTCGCGAATAGTGAACGTTGTGACCGGCAACGTTTTGGCGGGGACATCTTGTGCCAGAACACCAAAACGTCATTTGCAACCCCATCGCACTTCGTGGCTTTCATCACTGTTTCGCCTTAGCCAGTCTAGAACCGAAAGAACCGCAGCGCCACCGAACGCCATGAGCGATCCCAGGGTCGTTTCGCCCTAGCCAGGCTGGTGCAGAAAACTGCGGAACGCCCCAGAGCGCCATTCCTGGCGATCTCATCCGCCTTTCTCCCGGGCCAGGCGAAACCCGAACACGTCATAACGTTGCCGCCGTTGCAGCCCATCGGCCCCATAGCCTGATGGGTGCTCTCGCCGCCGCGCTGGGTCACTTCCCTCCTCTCCTCCCTCTGCCCCTTCCAGGAAAGCGTTCAAGCGCCCGCCCGGACGCCGAGCCTTGTGCAGGCATCCCAGATCATGTCGTCGGCGGTTTCCCCAGGTTCCAATGCAGCTCGAACAGAGAAAGTTTTCATGCGGTTTCCGCGCTGTTGTCGGGGCCGCGATCTTTGCATTGAGATTGCCTTGGTATTGCATGCGTTTGGTGCCCCAACTTCTCACAAGCCCCGCGCCAGAACGGCTGACAGGCGCGAGCCCCATATCGTGTATAAAATTGAGATGGGGCTTTCGAATCAGCCTAGCTGGAAGGCCGCGGATGGAAACAGTTCACGCGAAACTGATCCGTAACGTGCGAATTTCGCTATTCAGAATCCGCGGGTTCAAGCTGGGCGCGATCGGCGGCTGCCGCCGAAAATACAAAACAAATGCGAACCACAGGTGCAGGTTGTTGAGCCCCATATTGTCGTGGCCCGGACTGCAGTCATTCTGTTCGAACGGCGGAATTCCAGCGTTCTGATTCGGTCTCGCGCTGGTTCCTGACATCCGCGATATCATGATGACGTCGCTTCTGCGGAGTCGCTGGAGGCCAAGGCCTCTGGAGGTATATGGGGGCGTCCGTTAATGAGCGTGCCCAGGAGGCTTCAGACCCTGGAGGGTTCCTTATCTGAGGAGGGCGGCGGTGATATCCATGGGCTGGCTTTTCACTGGCTTCCAGACCCCTTGATTCCTTGTCGAAGGTTTCCTTGTCCAATGCCATTGCCGTACATATCTTCAGGCCACTGGAGGCCCCCGGGGGTCCTCGGAGGCCCAGAGGAGGGCAGTGACACGCGAGGAAACCCTGGGCCTCGACCCCCTCTCCCTGTTGCCGCCCACTTTGTGGAGGCCAACTCTGGCCACATCAAGTTTTAAAACTTGTTTTGCTGCGCGTTTCGCCGAACTTGCCAACGCGGCCGCGTGGTCTAGTCTTCGTCGGGCACGCGCTCCCGTCGCCCAACGGACCAGCTTCACGGCGTAATCGTCGTCCTGAGGCAAAATGTGTCCTCCTCCTCCTCCTCCTCCTCCTCCTCCTCCTCGTCGTCCTCCTTCTCATCCTCTTCCTCCACCTTCTCCTCCTCCTCCTTCTCCTCCTCTTCCTCCTCCTCCTCCTCCTCCTCCTCCTCCTCCTCCTCCTCCTCCTCCTCCCTCTCAGCCCTCTCCCGCCTCCTCCATCCCTTAACGCGCCGCCGCGACGTATTTTTTAATCGAGCACTCTTTCGGTGCTTTCTTCACACCTGGCCCCACAAGATGGGTGGTAGGTGCGGTGCCATCCAGCCCGAGCTCGGCGAGCACAAGCAAGCGTTAACTGGCGGGGTCCCAGCTCGGGGCCGGGCATGCCGCGGCACCCAGTGGTGACGGGCGGGGGTGGAGGACGACATTGGGACAATTGCTGCTTCGACATGGGCGCCCTTGCCCTGTGATTGTGCAGCCTTATTGCGAGTGTTGACCTCAGCCAGGTTTCTCCACCCGGCGGAGCACGCGACCTTTGGCGCGGGGCAGCTCACCGAGCGCGTTCCACTACTCGCAAAGTGCCCACTCGAACACGTCACAAAAAAACACATGCTTGCCTCGATGTCATGGATCGTAGTGGAACGTCGAGGGTGGAGCACGCGACCTTTGGCGCGCGGCAGCGGCAAGTCTTGCCGCCGAGGGCTGAGGGCCTCGGTCGAGCGCCGAGAGCAGCTTTCCAGATGCTCTCTCCTCCTCGTGGCAAGTTCGCGCCGCGTCGACGCGGGCGCTCAAGGTTGAACGCCGCCAGTGGCCCAGAATCGGCCTACATCGAACTGTGGTGTGGTCTAATGACTTTTGGCTCATCCCGCCACCGTCCCTGGGCTGTGGGTATGAAGCCTGTTGCATGTTGGTTGGGATGTCGTGGGGAGGCCTCTCAGGGGCCTCTTGGAGTCAGTTTGGAGGCCTCTCGGGGGCGGTTTTTGGGCCTCACGGGCCCCTGACCAATGGAATGTGCCTCTTGGGGCCCTTTTGGGGGGGCTCTTGGAGGCCTCTTGGGGCGTCTTGCAGGCCTCTTGGGCCGTTTGGGGGCCATGCTGGGCGTCTTGGGCCGATCTTTCGGCGGTTCGGGGCCCTCTTGGGCCTTCTTCGGGGCCTCTTGGGGCCCTCTTGGCCCGTCTTGGGGCCCTTACGGGCCCGAGAGATTTGCGCGCCACCACAAAGCCCAGGGGGCACGCGGGAAGCCCCAGGAGATTTCGGACATTCGGGCCCAGGCCCTCAGGAGTGAGGATTGAGGCTTCGAGGCTTGGGCCCAGGCCCTGAGGACACGCCCACTCCGTGCCCAGCGGCAGGGTGAATCTGATCGGAATGTCAAGACCTCTCAAGGCTGAACGATCCACGCGGTCAGATCCAACACCAACGTCATCGTGGCGTGCACTCGCCGTATTCCACCGTCCCCTTTCCATCCAAACCCTTCCCTCCCCTCTTTCTGCACAGCTTTCGGCCAAGAGAGGTACAACGGCAGATCGATTTCGGAAAGCTTTCCTCCACAGTTTTCTCTCTTTCCGCACGGCGGATTGCTTGACTCAGCCGGGATGTGTCGCCCCACTGTTTGATACTCGCCCGCGCCACGGCGCCACCTCATACCCCTGCCACGGGCCGTCCCTGGCGACGACGCGTGCAGAGCCTCCAGTCCAAAGCCTCTATTCCACACGGGCATCCTCATCCCCGCCCTCAGCAGCCAGAGCAGCGAAGCCAGCAACTAAGCATTCGGCAGTGGCGAGAACGATTGCGTCAGTTCAGTGGGGGCTCCTTCTGCCCCCCTCATCACAACCATCCGCATCATCATCACCAACATCATCATCATCATCATCATCATCATCATCATCATCATCATCATCATCATCATCATCATCATCATCATCATCATCGTCATCATCATCATCATCAGCATCATCAGCAGCATCATCATCATCAGCATCATCATCATCGTCGTCGTCGTCCTCCTCCTCCCCGACTGTGGTGAGCTTTACCCGGCCGGCCACTTTCGAGGTCTGCCGCCACAGAGCCTCAGTGCGGTACGAGCCCGTGTCCACGTGAGTTTCGTTGGGTGTTTTGTATAGTCCCCTGTGAGGAAAATTATCTTAATATTGTGTCGCAGCAGAGGCAGAAACTGGTGGTGTTTGCTGCAGAACAAATCATCATCCGCCTCTTTATCTCCACAGCTGGTCTGGCTCGAGAGGCCTGCGGTTGCCAGATATCCAGCTCTCCGCGAGCCCCAAGCCCGGAGCCTCCTCGCGCCCGAGCGCGGAGCCTAGGGCGCGAGCTGAGTCCGAGCCCAGAGCAGGAGCTGAACCCGCGAAGGATCACGACGAGGCCGTGGAAGACGCTGAGGTTGCGTCAGCCGATGCCGAGTCGGACTTGGAGCCTTTTTTGTCCGTTTGTCCATGCCCTCAGCAAATCTAGCACAGGGGTGGCACTGCCGGAAAGTTCGAGAACGCATTCGGAGCGCCAGACAAGCACTCTGCCAACCAACACCCTCCCGTGCGCGTGAGCAGGCGTGGCCCTTGCCAGCTCAGGAGAAGGCGGATGAGGGTGGAGAGCGGAGCCCTTTTGGCAGCGTCCAGTTGCCAGGTGGACAGCTAGGTGGGTCGCGCGCACGGGTGGTTGAGCCGTAGATTCGCTTTGCGTCGCACGTCTGGTCTGCGGCCGCCTGGCTCAAGCAGCGGTCCAACGACGGAAGGGCGTTTCCGAGGCCAGCAGAGGCTGCAAGCAAAAAGGACGGGAGGCGGGCAGGCGGCCCCAGCGTCTAATCGACGAGGCGGATCGGCGATCGAGATGGATCGGATCGGCGGAAATCGGCAGCCGAGTCGGGAAAAGTCGAATCGGCGGGAAATCGGGATGCTGGTGTGCCTCCAGTGAGAAATCGGAGCCCACATCGGAATCCCAAATCGAGTCGAATCGAAATCGGAAGCCATCGAAGTCGAAGCGAATCGAATCGGAGGAAACGAAACGAGCCCTGGGGGATGCGCGGAGTGGAAGGAGACCACGCTCAGAACAGGTAGTCCATGGGGGCGGTTGCCGCAGAGGTGCACAGTGCCGCAAAGGTGCCCAGTGAAGAGGAGGTCCATGACATACGGAATGCGAAGCTGGAGAGGCAGGGTCACGGCGTGGCTAGAGTCAGCAACCAGGGAGGGCAAGTGCAGGAAACAGATCCGGGTAAAGCGTCCACACCTGGCGCCAAAACAGCGGCCCGGAGGAAGACCAATGGCCCAGGGCGACGAGTCACAGCCCCGAATTTCGATGCAGTGACGACCACGGTCCGCAGAAACTGGGGCTGCACGACGCGCATGTAGACCCGTGCGTGGTTCCCAGAGGTCCCGCGACACAGGGAGGGGGGAGGAGTGAGGAGGCGGGGGAAAGGGAGGAGGAGGGAGGAGGAGGAGGAGGGAGGAGGAGGAGGAGGAGGAGGAGGAGGAGGAGGAGGAGGCGGAGGAGGAGAGGAGGAGGAGGAGGAGGAGGAGGAGGAGGTAGGACGAGGAGGAGGACGAGGAGCACAGCGGCGAGGCCCGCCAGGATGTGGAAGGACCGTCGGCGATCCTGCCAGAGAGCTCCACGAGCAGTGTGGCGGGGCCGGGAGGAGGAGCCACGCAGCGCTTTGTGCGGCAGGGGATGCAACACCCGGCGGGCCTCCAGGGGTGCCCTGGGTCTCTTGGGCTTCGATGGCTGTGCTGCGGCACGGCAGTGCACGTCCTGGTGTCTCGGGGTCAGGCTTCTGGTGGACGGTTTCTCGTGGTCCGGCCCCTACTGCAGCGAGTCGAAGCTGCAGGGGCTCAGCGGCGAACTGCTCCACAAAGCCGCCAGCGCTCTCCTCGGTGAGCCCTCCTCCTCCTCCTCCTCCTCCTCCTCCTCCTCCTCCTCCTCCTCCTCCTCCTCCTCCTCCTCCTACTCACCGATCTGGCGGAGAGCCAGGCAGCACGGGCGCCGGGGGCAGCCAAGGAGGGCTGCTGGGGCCAGCCGAGGCCAGCGGACGGCACGACGTTGCGACCCGGGGGGGGGGGGGAGAAGCTTCTCCTCCTCCTCCTCCTCCTCCTCCTCGTCCTCCTTCCTCCTTCCTCCTCCTTTTCCTCCTCCTGGAGGGCGATCTAGGCCTCCTAGATGGGATCGGAGTAGATGGGGTCGGAGGGTCGCGCCGCATCGCCGATGCATCGGCGATGCGGCTCGATGTGGAGCCCGATTTCTCCACGTCGACGTCGCCGATGCAGCGCTCGCGTCACCAGTGCATCGCGGATGCATCGGCGATACACTGGCGAGTCGGCGCAGTTCTCTGACCCGATCCACTCGGACCCCATGCAGGAGGTCTCTGGCAAGAAGCAGGCAAGGGGCGGGCAGGGGGGAGCGGTGCGAGGGCAGCGGAGAGAAGAGGCAGGGCGGGGCAAAAAGCCCAGGCGGCGGAGGAGCGCAGGCCAGGCACCTGGGGGAGCAACAGATTCATCAAACGGCGGTGCATGAAGGACGACTCATGCAGAAGGCAGCACGGGCCAGGTCCAGAAACGTGGTGAAGCCACGCAAGGCCAGACTCCTCTAGGGGTGCCAGCACGAGTCCGAAAAGCCAGGTGAGCCACCAGGTGGGCGCCAGGGGCGGACTTCGCGGGGGACGGCAGGCGCGCGGCGCGCGGTGGGGCGAGGCCGCGGGGAGCCACGCGCGCGCAGGCACCCAGGGGTCCAGAGGTCCAGGCGCGTGGCGCCGCGCATGTCTCTGGCGAGCCCGGGGCCCCGAGGGGCACCCAGACCTCCGACGGCATGCATTTTTCACGCCGTGGACCCCCAGAGGTCTCGGCCCCTTCCCCGGGACCAGCTCCTCATCCGGGTGGGGGGGGGGGAGGAGGAAAAGGGGGAGGAGGAGGAGGAGGAGGAGAGGAGGAGGAGGAGGAGGAGGAGGAGGAGGAGGAGGAGGAGGGGTCGACTCTTGGCCCCTGGAGGCCGAGGGTAACGCTCCCCGTCGCGATTTCTCCACGGCCCGAGGGTGGCGCGGTGGATGTCTCTGGCAGTGCATCCCAGGAACGCGACTGGAGCGCAGAGGGGCCAGGAGCTCACAGAACCCAGGGAGCTGCGGCAGCTCGGCAGAGCTTATTCTGGATGGGGCAAGCATCGCCCCCCCCACCCCCCCTGGATCCGCTGGGGGGGGGGGGGCAAGTGCTGTCGGAATGGGTAGAGCGGAGGGGAGGAGGAGGAGGAGGAGGAGGAGGAGGAGGAGGAGGGGGAGGAGGATGGAGGGGAGCAACATTGGGCAGGCTCAGTCAGAAGTTAACCACCCACCCTTGATCAACAAACAACAACGAGAAAAACAAAAAACATCCAACGTAGCGAGAGCGGTCGTGCCGGGCTGCGCGTGGTGCGGCCCCAGCTCCGGGACGGGTCCCCAGTGGTGCATTTGGCTCGGGAGCTGAGGCCTCGGCGTGGCCCTCCCCCGCGCTGAGGCCCTTGCCTTACGTCGGGCCTGTCCCTCTACAGGAGGAATATTCAGAATAGTTTTAAACATAGTCTGGGGACGATGTTTTGAGTATTTGTTTGCCATTTTGGGGTATTCGTTTGGAGTATTTTTATAATTTCGTCCAAAATTCCCCTGTAGGGGGACAGGCCCGACTTAACCCTTGCCCTTGGCCCGATCTCGGCGTCACCCCAACACACTTGTCCTATATGCGCGTCGCCCCCCCCCCCCCCCCCGCAGGGGCGACGCGCGCACCCATAAATCTTACAGTCTATGCGTCGTGGCGGGTGCTTTCTAGCCACACCGCTCGGGAAACGATATACTACAAGATGGGTGTACTATATGTCCCGAACTGTTCAGGTCGGACGCGCGCCTCCAAGGAGGACACGCACATAAGATATATATATATATATATATATACATATGTATACACACCTATTCACACATATACATTTACATACACACGCATATACATATATATATATACATACATACACATATAGATTTATATGTATATTTATATATATACCCCACATGATCATACATACTCTCCCAACCCCTCATCTGCTCCCCGCTCTCCGTCGCACTTCCTCATCCTCTCATCCTCCTTCAGCGGGGTGCTTTGGGGCCTGTCCCGTCAGCTGCTCCTCGCCTTGGGCGGCAAGGACAAAACGACCGAGTGATCGACGTAAGATTGTCTCTGGCTTGCAAGCTTGCTTTCAGTCACTTCCTTGATGAGCGTGCCATTCATCCATCCATCGGCGGGGCATTGCAACCTCGGGCTGAGGGCGGCGGCGGGGAACCGCAACCTCGGGCTAAGGGCGGCACGCTTTTTAGTATTCTCTCGCGCTGGATCCCAGTCCCTCTGTACCCTCAGGAGGGGGATGATGATGATGATGATGATGATGATGATGATGATGATGATGATGATGATGATGAGGAGGAGGGGGATCAGGAGAGTGACTAATTCTATAATATGAGCGAGGAGGACGAGGAGGTAGAAAGACGAGTGCGATCCCGACGATGATGACGAGGATGATGCTCATGACGATGATGATGTCGATGCTGACGATGATGATGATGCTGATGCTGATGCTGACGATGACGATGATAATGCTGAGGAGGACTGCAGAGGATGAGGAACTGAACTCGCTGGGAAAGGATGATGAGCAGAAGGAGGATGGGGAGCTGGGTTAGATGAGCGATTCCAGTTATCATTCATGCCACCCTCATTGATTCAGTGTTGATGTATTTTTTGCAATCGAAGTCCACAGCGCCCCCTGAAGGGCCGCAGCGGGCAGCCATGGGTAGTCCGATCAAGGGCACGGCCGAGTGCCACCGCAAGCTCGAGGCCAATTACACATACAAGAAACACATCAAAACGCTAAAGGCGAAGAAAGCCAAACGTCGTGCGAAGGCTAGGTTTGACAAGGCCGTGGACAAGGCTGTCGCCGAGGCCCTGCGGCAGAAGAACAGGGCGGCGAAGCAGCGGAACGACATCCACACTATGCTCTTGAACACCAAGGACACAGGCGCATATCAAACTCCACTGCCATGCTGCGCTTTCCGTCAACAGCTGCCGCTGCGCCTTGCTGCTGCTCTGCTGCTGCTTTGCTGCTGCCTCGCTGCTGCCCCGCTGCTGCCCTGCTGCTGCCCTACTGCACCCTGTTGCTTCTCTGCTGCGCTCTGCGGATGCCCTATTGCCCCCGCGCGCGCAATCTGGTGTAAAATCCATAGGACCAGCTGGAGCAGGCCAACAACTCCCTCCACGACCAAAGGAAGCTGCTCGCCAAGCAGAAACGGGAGACCGACCGGAGGAACGGGCAGCGACAGAAGACCTGCTGCCCTGCTGCGGTTTTGCTTCGCCCTGCTGCTGCCCTGCTGCCCTCTCTGCCCGTTCCTCCAGTTGGTCCTCGGGACGCGCTGGCCGCCGCGGAGAAGCGCCTCCGGGCGTGGGAGGAGTGGTGGGTGCGCTTCTCCTGCGCGGTCGTGGACCGCCTGCCCGCCTGGGTCGCCAAGAAGACGCGGCTCTGGGAGACGCGCCCGCCGAAGTAGCGCACCAGGTACTGCTGCGGGCAGTAGGCGGGGGCGCTTTGCCCGCCCTCCCGCCGACGCCAGCGCGGGGCGAGAAATGCAAGCCCGCCGCCCGCGCGAGCTGGGGCTGGCGCGTGCAGCTGGGGAAGGGAGAGGGAGCGGCGACGGCGCGCAGAGACGGGCCTGGGGGGGAAGGAGGGGGCCGCGACCCCGCCAGGCGCGGAGAAGGGCGGCGCACGGAA